GAAAGTCTCACAAACAAAGTTCATATGTTTGAAGCTCAAGAAATTGATTGACAGATTAGCAAACACAATGAAACATTCATATAAATATTATTAAAGGATCAAAAACATGGCACTGGAAGAAACAGACCTAATGGAAATTTTTTATATACAATCCATGTTTGCAAACAGCTCTGGTGAAAATGCACAAACGGCCCTGTTGGAAATCTTGGACGTAGAAGCGGGAAGGACCAGGAGTGAGTCTTTAAAACGACTAATCAACTTAACAATAAGGACTACCTTCAACGGGCACATCTATAAACGAATATTTGGACGTTCATGAGATCGCCGCTCTCACCTGTTTTGGCAAGCGTATACATGAACAAATTAGAAGAGAAATTCAAGATATCCCCACAGCAATAAGAGTGATCATCCGGTACATCGCACTTTGGTTGCATGGAAGATAAAAATTGGAGGATTTCCCGAAGTTTATAAACCATATTAATGAAAGAACCAAATTCGCAATAGAAGTAGATGAAGAGGAATGATTAACTGTCCCGGATGTTAAAGTCATTCGCTCTAATGGGACACTCAAGAGGAAATTGTCCAGAAAAAAGCCATATGCCGGGATAATACGCCTTTTCCAGTCCCATCACAACTACAGGCTAAAGATAGGAGTAATGAGAAGCATGTCGATCAGAAGCCTACGAATAACGGACGTGGAATCCGGGATGAAGAATTAGACAAATTGACTCAGATATTCTTCGACAACAGTTACTCAAGCGAAGTAGTACAAAGCAATATACGGGCCGTGAAAAGCCGATAGCAAGACGGAGATTTTGAAGGAACTGTAAGGACGGAGAAACGCACAAATGCGGATATGCCTACCTTTCTGTGAACTAACTCACAAACTAGGGCCAATAGTAAGAAAGTAGAATATTCAGGTGACAACGAAGGAAAAAGTAGGACTCTTCGGAAGTTTACCTGTGCAACTTGAATCGGTTGGCAAATTGCATTGCTCGCTAGTTTACTGCATAGCATACGGCACCTGCGAACTCAAATATATTGGCGAAACAGGGAGAATAATCAGCAGACGAATCAGGGAACATCAAAGGCTTTGTAGTAAATGGAAAGCAAAAGATCAGAATTAGCGGAACACATCGCACAGACTTTACATGTGATCAATTGGAAAGCAACTGAAGGAGAGCCTCATACGGTGAAAACACAAGACAATAGAGGATTAGGAAGACGGCTGAGATACTTGGGGGAAAAATCTAATAAACAGGAGATCGTAGAAAGGTAAAGTTAGCGATAACTCTGCCTATTGCCTAATTAAAATAGGAGAAAACAAGAATCTGACATGACAAGCAAAAATCAGATGTCTGGACCATGGACCTATCGTTAGCCGGAGGAAAATGGATCGCAAGGATGAAGCAGATAAGAAATATTTTAAATTTAAGCCAAGGCCTTAGTGAATATAGTCTGCGGTCGCATACCTATGCAAACGAAGGGCTATTCTTCGACACTTTGCTCAGGTTAAATTAGTTACCCGTGAAGGCAATGCATAATATCTGCAAGCATGGGAATCAGAGTCTATGCGCTCTGTCCGGTAAGGCGACAGTGTACATGCTTCCAAAAGCTTGAGAAATAGCACCTAAAATGAAACATTGCTCGGAATGAAAACTAGTCAAATCGGTCAATAAGAAAGAAATGGATCTACGGGGCCATGAGAGAGATCTGGCTAAGGGGCTCGATTCGGATCAGCCAATCGAAAGAGAGGGGAGCATAGTGAACAGCAGGTATGATGAAGTTATATTAAATTCGCCATAAAAGGAAAAACCTTTTTCGGAGTGAAATATAAACAAGTCATAAGTTGTGACAATGCGGGATTGTGATAAGAAGGTTAGGAGTAGAAAGATGAGCCAGGACAGAAAGCAACGATAGCATAAACGTTTCCTCTGAGAAGATGCCATGCTCCCGCTCTGATGCCATGCTCCCGCTCTGATGCCAGGAAGTATGATAACTACTATGGTAGAGGACTTCGGACAAGTTGCGCTCAACTAAGTCGCCCTGACAACATGACTAAGTTGCGAAAACGTGGTCAACCCAATTCTATTTATCAAAAGGAGACTGCGACCATACCAAATACCACAACATATTGGTCTCTTATATCTTCGATTAAAACTAAATAATGTGTTCTCATAGCAACGAGATAAAATTAAATTAATAATCCTCCCCCAGCCCAAGAGATCTAGTAAACACCTATTCAAGAACTATTGATAGTTTCGAACCTATGTCGAGTATCCACTGTATTATTAAATTTGGTTGAGCCACAAATATTCTAGTCTATTAAAAAGTCGATTCATAGGATCAGTTCAAATATGCAAAATTGACAAATATACCGTCTTAGCACACCTTTTAAGTCATGTCATTTTTTCGAAGATATGTATAGCTGTGTGACCTTGATTTCGCAACATGGTCATATTGGTAAGGAGACCTTGAGGAATGTACCAAGTCTGGAATCCATAATATGCATGATAATTTCCAGTCGGACTGTGGACTTTGAACATTCCCATACGTTTTGCCAGCATTGTAGTCGGCATCGCTAATGAGTCTTGCCAATCTTAACACCAAATGATAACTCGTCAAAGAGACAGATGAAGCCGACCCTTTGACCAATTGTCTGCTAAACAATCGTGATATCTCTTCTTCCGCTATGAGCTAATTAACAATCTTCATATCACCCCTTCACTATCACAATTTATCAATTGCCCTATTTAAATGTGGTATGGTGTGCCCTTTCTAGCGAAATTCATTAGAATTCTCCAGACCCCACACTGGCTTTCTCACTCCCTCACCCTGCAGTCCTATTTCATTAGAACTTTTCAGTCTCCCTCTCGCATCGCAGGATCCGCCTCATACCGTCCTGGTTCAGATATTTCACTCGACTTCTGCCACTCTATCTATACTACTGGACGGATAATTTCACACTTCCTCAAGCCTTTGATGACACGCATACTCCAGCCTCGCTGAGTAGACCCCAAAAATCCGGATTATCAAGCTGGATGGGAGATTAACTTGAGGCTAAAGAGCCTGAGTGATTCTCAAGGTCAAGCCTTTGCTTCATGGACCACATCTATGATCAATCACGTCTAATGTTAGCCACCTAACTCTACTCTCTGCCTCATCTATCCTGTTTCTATCCATAATACCAAGTCTATGACTTCCTATTCCATAGTCTCTTGTGTGCCAACCCATAAATGTTGTGGTTCTAAATTGAACCTAATTAGAACAAATAGAACCACAACATTTGTGGATTGGCACACAGGGCATTAGGGTAATAAGGAACAAGTAATAAATAATGAATAAATAAACATCGAGATTGTCCTTGTTAATATTACCTCTAACCCATAGTTGTCTTTCCACCCCAGGCAAGGATTGTTGGAGGAGAGCAAGACACCGGCAGGCCTGCCATACCAACAGCCCGTTTGGCTCATCATCAACTATTAAACGAGACTGTGATCCCTCTTCGCTCGACTGAGGGCCTGACACAAATTCCCATGAGGCTAAGCATCGTTTGCTAGAAGATGTAGTCGAATGCGTCTCATTCTGAATAGTGTCACCAAGATCCTTTCCATATAGCATGCAGGAGATAGAGGTCGGGGACTGACCCAGATCACCTTGTCCAACACCACAATTTTTGGCTTGAGTTTTGACTTTTCGAGAGGGACGCTTGGAAAGCCTCAGTGGCGACGATGGTCTATACTTAGAGCACCCATGACTATTTTGTTGTTGCGGAAGGGACGAACAAATAGGCATGGGTGGGTTTCGATATACAGGTAGGAAATATGCGGGACGCAAGAAACAGGTTGGCTGAAGAAGGCGGTCGCAGTCGCGAAGCACGCTTCGTAACTCATGGCCGCAATAAGATCCAAAGAGAAGCCGGTGATCCAAGTGAAGAAAAGGTCGCTTAAAGGAGATCCGAGAGGGTGCAGAGTGAAAGTCAAGCAGATGAGATGGCGGATAGGTGGGGGGAGAAAATTAATAATTTTTAAATAGATGCTCTTCCATGCACGTGTATTAAGGAAATGCGCCATAAAGTACGGTAAGCACTATAACAAATCGGATAGAATAAGAATTACCAGCAGGCTAGTGAACCAAAAAGATTAAAAGCAAAGTAGAGTTAAGAGTACTGATTCTGCAACTTAGAGTTGGAAATCCTGATTCAAAATAGAATGAGTGCTGAATAGCAAATGCGTGATGTAATAAATCAGCTTTGACGATGAAGGACCGAGCATCATTAATTTATTATAATTCCTGGCCCTATTTCATATATTTATTTTTCTATACATAAAGGGAATCTTTATAAAATTATTATAATATACTGAAAACTAGTAAGTCAATATACCTGGGCCATTGGTTTTATCTATATAATGAGCCGTTTTGCTAAGACAATATTACGTCAGCTTAATAAATGATAGATGTGAATGAAGCTAAGGGAACTTCTCGATAACACAAAGGTAAGACCCAACTTAATGTTGGCAATATCAATTGTAAATAATCATTAAACTTAGTCCTCATTTTAATGAGAAAAATATTGGCACAAAAGTTGTACCGTATCAAAGCTTTCGCATAACAGAAAAAAGAAAACAATCTGAAATTAGCTAAATATATTTCATAGAACAGTATATTAGTTCTAAGTATCACTATATATAACAAATCGTCTAATTATACTATTACAACAGAACCAATTCTTTATGAACCTACTCTTTTAATAAATACACTGAAAGTGACAAACTAATTAAATATAGCATTAAATTATGATGGCGCTGTGGTTTAGGTAATTACTTATGAAATATTTACCAAGTGAGCGAAGAACGCTTTAAGGAAATTTTATATCTAATGAAAAAAAGAAATGTATCTAAAATGTGTGGGAATGGATTAAGAAACCATGCTGTAATTATTGTAACCTTGCGCAGAGAACATGAGATAAAATGGCTAGTAGAATCACTGCTACGTATAACATAATGCAATTTGCTTCAAAAATTAATGTTTATTTATCTAAATTGCTCTCGATAAATATGTGATCGGCTTCACGCTACTGTATAGGATGTCTCAGCCTTGTATAAAGGGACAAGAAAGATTACAGACGAGGATTAGATATTGGAAAACAAGACCGATGGCGATGTTGTTCTGGCGCAGGAGGGATGTTCTCAGTCAGAAATGATCATAAAGGATAACAACGGAACGAGGGGAACAGCGGAACAGGCTGTCCTCAGTTCAGGAAGTTTATGATTGTGGGTTGATCTCATTTTTGCAACTTGGTCTTGTTGTCAAGGCGACATAATTTAATGCACCTTGTCCAGTCCTCTGTCATAGTAGTTATCATTATTACCAGCACCAGACTGGGAACATGGTACATTCTCAGATGTTTCGCCGGCATCATCAGTGAGTATTGCCATTCTCCACCCCAATCTACAAACGCGTCAGAGACAAGCGAAGTCAATTCCATGGCCAATGTTCTGCCGAAACGATTACATCACCACTCCTCTATCTGTCCTGGCCCATCTATCTACTCCTTACCTTCTTATACAACTCCCATCCTATCACAACTTCTGACTTGTTTACATTCGACTCGTCAAAAGGTGTGCCCTTTCTGGTAAGTTTAGTAAGGCCTCATCACATCTGCTATTCTCCTTGGCCCCCTCATTCGATCAGCTAATCCTACTCAGGCATTCTATTCGGATCTCCATCATGGCTACGTAGATCTGTTTTTTATGTCTGGTTGACGTATTTCACTCGGTTCCAGTCTCTGTGTGCGTTTTACTCCAGACTCTATCTCTCATGGCCTTAGAAGCATGTACATTACAGCCTCACCGAGCAGAGCGACTGGGCTCTGATTTCCATGCTTGAAGATATTAGGCATTGCATTCAGGTATCATCTCCTCAATTGAACCACACATCCACATTTGTGCGTTTTTTCGTCCTTACTGTTCTTTCAAAATCTCCGTCATGTCATACAGCCCATATGCTTCTGTGTATTACTTCGCTTGAGTAGCCGCTGCTGAGAAATATCCTAATCAATTTGTCTAATTTTGTCCCATAATTCCACATCTGTTATATGTAGGCTTCTGATGATCATGCTCCTTATTATTCCTATCTTTAGCCTGTAGTTGTGATGGTACTGGAAATTTAGTATTATCCAGGAATAAGATACATTTCTGGACAATTTCTTGTTGAGCGTGTCATTAGAGCGCATCACTTCAACATCAAGGAAAGGTAACCGCTCACCTTCCTGTACTTCCATCATGAATTTAATTTTTTCATCAATCTGGCGTATAAACTTCAGAAAATCTCCCAGTTTTTTTCTTACATGTGGCCAAAGTGTGGAGTAATCATCCAGGTACGGGATAGGCGCTGCTGGTTGAGGCGGTGACATCTTGAAGCTCGACTCTAATTTGTTCATGTATACGTTTGCCAAAAGAGAGCAGCGATCCCATGCGAAGTTCCTATAATTGTTCATAGATGGTCCCGTTGAATGTACAATAGGTTGTCCTTATCGTCAAGTTGATTAGTCGTGTTAACGACTCCATCATGGTCCTTTCTGATTCCAGAATATCCTCCTCTCGGTCCAGGATTTCCAGCAGGGCCGTTATGGCATTTTCTCCAGAGATGTTTGTACACATGTATTCTACATCAAAACTTACCAATAAATCTGTTTATTATAGTTCCATGTTTTTTATTTAAAAAAAAATTCAAATGAATGTTTCACCGTGTTTGACAAACTGTCATTTAATTTCTTGAGTTTTAAAGAGA